CTGACCACCGAGCACTGAGCACGGAGCACCGAGCACTCACTGAAACGCGAAGGTGCTGCCGAAGAGCTTCTTAGCGGCTCTGAAGTTGGATTCTTTGGCTGGTGGGCTGCTGAGAAGCAGGAACTGATGGGGCGTGTGCATGAACTTCAATTGCTGCCAGGGAGGAGGAGGACAAACGGAACAGTGCTCAACGCAACACGCAATCGGCTGCTGACCATTTCAAAGTTTACCCGTTTCAGGACTCGCTAGCTTCTCACCACCGAGAATTCAGGTTAATCACATGAACAGAACCATTCATTAAGAAAAGCAAAAACCCAACCCTGTATGCATGACAAGTCATGGAATTGCCCATACGGAGGACAAGTCTTTAGGCCAGCGGTTCTCAACCTGTGGGTCATGACCCCTTTGGGGGTTGAACGACCCTTTCACAGGGGTCGCCTAAGACCATCGGAAAACACATATATAATTACATATTGTTTTTGTGATTAATCACGATGCTTTAATTATGTTCCATTTGTAACATTGACATTGGGGGTCACCACAACATGAGGAACTGTATTAAAGGGTCGCGGCATCAGGACGGTTGAGAACCATGGCTTTAGGCTAACAGAAAAAGGACCGGAGGCCAACACCTCATTTATGTTTAGATCTGCCTTCCTAATTACATTCCTTCTTAAGAATTTTAGTGTTGAATTCCGTACATGCACACTAGCTATTCAACTGGGGAAACCGGCCGAGAGTTTGCTGGGCAAAAAAGAAGTTAGGTCAAGCGGTTTAGATGTCAAAAACGACCATTATCATGCTGCGTTTGCATATATTTATGAAATTGGAAATGGCCTACATTCAAATATTGTCTCCTGCTTTGTTCAGAGGAAATGCAAAACAGAACCTTTTGGGATAAGTTGGCCGCCTTGCGCCGGGGAATATTCTCCTATAGGGATGCAAGAGAGGGCTCTGCAGGTTCGAGAGTCACAGACGGGGAGCTAAATTCCAGGAACCACTGCCCTCGGGGGACGGGCAGAGCTGAATGCAGTCCATTAGCCTGCGCACGGTTTGTAAGCGGACTGGGCGGGTCAGAAAGGTGCCCGGAGGCATTATCTCCTCCGACACAGAAAAGCAGGGCTGCGCCTGCAGGAGGCCGACCACGAGGAAAGGCAACGGCCTCTCTCTGGCCCGGCCCCAGGGGACAGTCTTCCCACCACCTTCGGAATAACTGCCTCAGACCGACTCTGATTTACTTAAGAGGCCAGGGCGTCAGCCGGCACTGGACGTGGCTGCTGGGAAAAGCCTGAAGACGGTGCAGACGCGGCAGCTTCACCCTGCGCGCGGGCCTTGACCGAGTCTGGTTTAATTTCCGGGGAGGCTGCAGACTCCCACAGGGCCGCCCTCCCCGCCAGCGTGGCCTCCCTGCGAGGGGACGTGCGAAAAAGCAACTTACCCTGTTGACTGGCAGTTTCACAATATGTGACCTGTTACTTGAAATAACCCTGAAATCAATGAAAACAATCCATCAGTCAAGAACATGTGCCGAATATATTTAAAGTTTTATTCCTGAGTTGGCGAATGACTGAAACGTACTTTTACTGCGACATAAAGTAAACTGGGTCATCATTTTACTTAATTACATCATTTTGCTTTGCTTCCTGAAGCAATTTAAAGAGCTTTCATAACAAAATGATATTTTAATCTGAGAAATAATACTTTGGTCATTTCTTCTTTAAAGCTTAAGAAATAATTTTTTTATAATCACAATCTCAAAAATTAACAAAATGAACACCTCTGAATATACTGTCAAATAATGATAATCTGAATATTACAAAGATCAGAAGTTGATCCATCATCTGCTTCCTTTGTCCCTCCCAACATTACCTAATTAAAAATGCATTTTAATGAAGACCTTTTTCCTTGAGTACCCGAGAATCTCCTTAGGCTGACATATACAATGATTTACATACAGACTGTGACTCAGCATTAGACACTGAAGCGGAAAAAGTTAAATTCAGGTATCTGAAAGAATTGGTTCATTACACAAAATAATAAGCAGGGAAAATGGCAAAACATTTTGGTAATATTTTTTAACCTTGAAAGAGGATTGACAACTAATGAAAGGTTATTAATCAGGCTGACTTCAGGGGGAAAAGAGATGAGGCAGCTGAGATCTGTATGTGATATGACTAATGCGAGAACTTTAAAAATTAAAATGAAAACTATAGGTTGTTTTACTGAACTCAGGATTTTAATAACAGATCATAAAACATTCAAAGAAGGGAGATTTCTAAACTTAATTTTTGTCCCAGTCTCATTAGACTAAACTCGATGTGTCCTGTAAAATTCTGACTAAGCGAAAGTGAAGCCATCAGAATCCTGGGGTACCCAGAGTCTGTTGCCTTCTCCCATCTTTCCACATTCTGTAAAGACTTTCTGGCTGGAGATGGAGTGAATACTCCTCGCACCCACCTCTCGGAGTTTACGTTTGCATTACTGCATGGTAACTGTGGGGAACCCCGCAGTCTGCGTGTTCAGAAACCTCGAAGAGACACGTACATAAACCCTTCCACGGATGGTGAGCAGATACTACTGTTTTCATTGTAAAAATGAGAAACCAGCCCTAACCGGTTTGGCTCAGTGGACAGAGCATCGGCCTGGGGACTGAAGGGTCCCGGGTTCGATTCCGGTCAAGGGCATGTACCTTGGTTGCCGGCACATCCCCAGTGGGGGGTGTGCAGGAGGCAGCTGATGGATGTTTCTCTGTCATCGATGTTTCTAACTCTCTATCCCTCTCCCTTCCTCTCTGTAAAAAATCAATAAAATATTTGTTTTAAAAAAATGAGAAACCAGCGGGCAAATGATCTGAATGGCGCTGTGCAAGGTGGGTCGTCCACCGCCTCCCCTGGTAGCCTGGCTTCCTTCCAGGGTCCCTGACCAGCCTCCTCTCCTGCTATCCTCAAACGAGGAGCTCATCCCAGGTGCACGGTCCTTGTAAGGGAGCAGATTCCACCCACACACGTTTCAGACACGCGGTCCACAGTGAGCAAGATGAACCACTTAGTCCTCAGCTACAAAGTTAAATAAACCGAAAACTGCCTCCCCATGTCACCCGGTTCACTGCGTTTTTTACACGACAGACAGACAAACCGCTGTCAAACTGGCTGTGCGTCCACTCGGCCCCGACAGCCCGCTCCTCCCTCAGTGAGGGGCGAGGTCTAATGACCGCGAGCCGGGAGACTCGCGGTGAAATCACCGCCCCGGAGGCCTGCACAGGGAGCCCTGCAGGTTCTGTC